TCGCGTCCGCGCCTAGTACTCCTCCCAAGAAACCGAGAACCGGTCACTCAGACCAGGCTAAGAAGGCCATGGTTCCTGGGGAAGGTTCTCTCCCAGCGTCGGATTCCAGAGATCATAAGTCTACGCCCCCGCCGAGCTCCCAGGGCAACTCCCTCTTACGGCCCGTTCCCGGGGTATCTGAGACTAACCTCTTGGGTCACTTGTTCGATGCCGACTACGACATGGGAGGGGGCGACACTGAAGCGGAGAGGAAAACCCCCTGGAGGAGAAGCAAGAGGAGGACCACCCCATGAGCGAGGAGCCCGGGGCGAAAGACCCTACCGAATCCGAGGACGTTGAGCTCGAGGGTGACTCGGGGTCAGGGCCCCGGATGTCTGCGGGCGGGCTGCGCCAGGTCAGGCCTACGATACGACCCCCAGACTGACCCAAAGGGGGTTTCTACCGACCTATAGATTCTGACGCTGACCCGGTTCGGCCCGTGGAGGAATTGGCGCAGGTCTTGACCCGCTCCAAGGTCGAGGATGTGCACATGGACGTTCTGGAATATTGGCAGATGGATACGGACCGTTGCACTCTGACTGATGCGGAGGACGCCATCCAGGGCCGCACCGCCGAGGACATCGTCGTGCACGTCAGTCTCCGGAAGCATATACTGGTGGAGTTCCTGCGCCGGGCGCTGATTCTCTCTTCCCTGGATGAGGTACCCTGGTTCCAGCATGTACCCGAGGAGTTTTTCGACCGGGCTTTGGCGGAGGCTGAGGATGACGACTGGGAGATGGGAATAGCCGAGGGCGTGAACCCTTGGCCTTCCGTGCCACTCCAGCTCCGGGATAGTCCCAGCCCTTCGGAAGAGGACGAAGACGCTTCCGGCGACGAGCAAGATGGCAATGAGCCCGACGATGAAACCTCGCTCGGTAAACGCTCCCGGCCCAAGTCGAAGACCCCGGCAGGGAAACGTCCCAAGCGAATTGTCCCTCCGACTCCTTCACCCGGCAAGTCTGGCTCTTCGCGTACTCCCTGGGAGAAGACTGCGCCGGCCCTCTCTGACGTTTCCTCGAACGATGAGGACACTCCACCCCGCCGGGTCAAGACTTTGCCGTAGCTCCCGGAGATGGGTTACGAGGGGTACCATACGGATACCCGGCTGGCCAAGTCCTGGATCATCTACAACACGCGCGTGCGCCGGACCAGCACTCGCCTCAAGCATCAAAACCGGGGGTTTCCAGACTACGAGGTTATAAACGACGAGGTTCATTCCGTGGCGGAACGCGTCCCAGTCGCAGAGTATCGGGACATTATCGAAACCCAAGCTCCCTGGGACGACATGTTCGATGAGCGCGTCAGGGTCCTTTTGTTTGTCCGGGGTACGCTGACTCCGGAGTTCGTGGGCATTGCCAAGCGCTATGCCCTGTTTATGTGGGTCTGGCGCCGGGAAGAGTGGGAGCGTACTCACTGGATTGTGCTGAACCGAAACGTCGAAGCACATGCTCTTCTTCACCAGGATCGCGCCGGGCGGCAGCGAAAGTACGAGAGAGCCCTCAAGGACCTCCAGGCGGACGTGGCCACACTTCCTCCTCCCGAGCGCAAGCTGTTCCGGACGGAGGCAGCGTTCTGGCGTCACTCTCGGAAACCGTGCGTGTGGATCCCCATGGACCCGAGGGCAAACAAGACCCTTCGCGTCCAACTCGACCTGCTGGACCTGCGCGAGCCAGCTCGCCTCTACTGGGGGTCGTCTTGTCCGGAGGAACGCATCGCGGAGAGTGTGTCCCCGGCCGTCTGGGGCACCCGCGTGACTGTTCACGCCAATCGCCTTCCTGTTCACAAGCCTGAGGAATATGTTATGCCTCGCGGTCGTCGTTAGTTCCCGGGAGGCGAGCTAGACAAGATCTTTTCCAGTCCCGGAGCCTCCGTATGCCCCTTTAATATATCTTTGCGTTTGCCTCGTTTGTCTTGTTGTCTCGGAGCCTTCTTGTCTTTTTCTATTGGTAACATGTATATGTCATGCAAACATGCAATCACTTGTGCCCCAGAGAATATTCTCATCTGGGGACACAAGGCTTCTGGGGGACACTCCAGAGCCCGCTGGTGTAGCTAGCTCCGGGTCCACGTCCCAGGGAAAATGCACTTCGTTCATGTCCTGGGGAGTATTCTCACCCAGAAACATGAGGCTTCTGGTGGACACTCCGGGGCCTACTGCTGTAGTAGCCTCCGGGTCCACGCCTCAGGGCTCTACCGGACTTCTTCGTCCGGGAGCTCGTCTCCAGACTGCATGGCCTGAAAACGCACGCGGGCTCGCTCTCCTTGGTCAAACTCGTAGAGGAGCCTCCCGCAATTGAGGTGTCCCTGGGGGACCCAGTCCGGCACTTCGTACCCTTTCCATTTCACTTGGTATTCTTTGACGCGCCGGCTAGTGCGGGTCCGGGTGACCTAACGCACATCAAGTATTGCTTCCACTTCGAACTCCCCGGAGCCTTCGTCGGGCTCCCAGCTACCTTCACGGAGCAGCGCGGCGTCGAAGTCGTCGTCCTCCGGGATATTCATGGTCTCCGAGGGCCGTTCGGGGTATTTAGCTCGGGGCTTCAGCCGGCTAACGTGGACCCAGGGGTAAAATCGGTATTCGGTCCCCCCGACCTGGAGGCGGTACCGGTAGTCGCTACCCTTTTCCGGGATCCGAAACGGACCGTGCCACAGGTGAGCCAGCTTCTTGGTGAGTCCGGGGCGGACCCGGGCTAGGTAGAGCCAAACTGAGTCTCCGACCTCAAAACCTTCCTTGAGCCGGTCCGTGAGCTGTTTCAATTTCCGGTTATGGTCCTCGGCTCGGCGTCTTTTTGCCTTTGCTTGGAGGTCCCGGACCCAGGCTCGAGCGTACTCGACTTGGCGTTGGATCTTCGTGCGCCACTCCTGGGCGTCTTGGAGTTGGACGTCCCGGGGGAAGTCCCCCATCATGGCTTCAACGGTGCCCTGGGCGTCCCAGCCGTGCTCTAAGTAGAATGGTGTATCGAGTCGGGTGAAGTCGAAAGAGGTGTTCAGCGCCCACATGAGCTTTTCGGCTAACTCGTCCCAGTCACTCTGGTCTACCGTCTGGACGTACGCCTTGACACTTCGGATCACTGTCTGCACTGACCTCTCCTGCTGTCCGTTAGCTTGGGGGTGGTAGGCCAGGGTCGCGCGCTGTCTGCTCCCGAGAATCTCGCAGAAGTGCTTGAACACCCGACCCATGAATCGTGGGTCTCGGTCGTGGCGGATCATTTAGCTGGCCCCGAACCTTCGGAACACGCATTCTTCGTAGGCTTCGGCCACATATTTAGCTTCAGTGCTCGCCATGGCTTTGCACATGATGAACCCCGAGAACGCGCACTGGAACAAGAGTAGTGCTGTGTTCCCCCGGGCTGACTGAGGCAACGGTATGACGAAGTCCATTGAGACGACTTGAAAAAGTCGCGTAGCCAGCAAATTGCCGGGCGACGGGCCCGGGTTCCGAGGTAGCCCCTTAGCCGTGACGCAATCCACGCACTCTTTGACATATCGCTCCGTGTCCTTGAACATCCCAATCCAGTAGAATTCTTTGCGTAGTCTCTCATA